GGAGTTCGTATGAGCTCTAAGAGTCTAAAACGGTAAAATTTCCACATATAAATCCGTGTACACGCTTGTTACCTCGAGCACACGTGTTTATTGTAGTTCAATTAGTTCAAATAAACCAATCCCTACGGGGTAGTTCCCCTTCACAAAGTTAGACAGGATACTTACCTCAAAAGCCCTCAATAAATACTCTAAACTAGCTTTTCCTTTACAATTCGCCATCGCTCAGCTCAGATCTAACCAAAATCGACTTAATAACATCAAATAATGCGAGAGAAATCAATTCCAATAAATAAAGTTATGATCTTTGCACAACTGCTCAAAAGTCAACCTGGGCTCGCCCGGTCAAAATCCAGGTCCAAGGGTAGATTCTGACTACCCATAAGCCCACGAGTCTATACATGTGTTTTGTTAAAAATACGAGTCTAAATCGACTCACAAAACTCAAATTCTCATTTTTCTAAACATAGACAAAATTTCTCAAAATTTCACTTTGATTCTCATATAATTGATGTTAAATCTCATATATAATCATGTAAAGTAGTTAGAAATTGATCAAAATCACTTACCCAATGATTGTAGATGAAAACCCCTCTTCAAAATCGCCTCCTACCGAGCCTAGGGTTCAAAGATATGAATATGAGAGTAAAATCCCGTCCCTCATCTCTTATGTCCAGTCTCAGGTATCGCAAATGCGAGGAAAGGATCGAAATAACGAATACCCTCACACCCCTGCCATCGTCGCTAATGCGAACTGTGGACATATCACAAAAGCGAACGATTAGATCGCAAATGCGACCATTACCTAACCTAGATCCCCATCCCAAAAGTGAACAAAATGTTTGAAAGTGCGAACAATGTAGATCCTATCAAAATCTCGCAAAAGTGAGACCTGAAGCAGTTGTGCAAATCTAGTAGAACTTAAACTCTATCAAACACTCTGAAACGCGTCCGAAACTCACCCGAGCCGTCGGGGCTCCACACCAACCATAAACATAAGTCTAGAAACATAACACAGACTCGCTGGCACGATCAAATCATCAAAATAACATCCCAAACCATGAATCGCCAAAACGCATGAAATCAACATGAAATTCAAGAACTTCTATAAACACAATCGTGCATCCCATTCCTATGAAATAAACTCGGGATGATGCCAAACTTTGCAAACAACTTCCAAATAGAAAAACGGACCAATTCCATGACCCAAAACAGAAATCCAAACATGAAAGCTACGAAGTTAACCTACGGTCAAACTTATCAAATTTCTATGCCTTTAAATTGCAAAATTTCTGTAAAACAACACAAATCAACCTACAGACCTCCAAATTTAATTTCTGTGCCAAAGTCCAAAATCACGATACAAACCTATCGGAGCCATCTAAATACCATTCCATGGTTGATTCTGTCCCGCCCCAAACTCGGGGAGCGCAACCGGCGTCAACCAAGTGAACCCGGCCGAGCAAGTCTGTTAGACACTTTCTACCCAAAATCAGTCATGGACAAAGAGAAGACATATTTTCATTAATTAGACAATAGGGAGATTATGTATACAATACCAAATCATTTCCATTAGTTACTTCATTTTAAGTCTCAAAATACACACATTGTTCATAGTTTGAAGTGGAATAAATTCAAACACAACATAACTCATTTGACTTCCCAGCACCCATATATATAACCCAGACTATGTCTAATGAGCCTCTAATCGATACAGAAGAGTACAATGATAGTGTCGGCAACAAGGCTCTGACTATACCTCAAAATGTGATAATATATAAACAAAGGATACATGACCCCGAAAAGAAGTGGGGCTCACCAAGTCTGTTAGGAGGAGGATGCACTGCTATTACAGATCAACATTGCCTGCTATGGAACCACCTGCATCTATTAAAGATGCAGCACCCCCGGTAAAAAGGACGTTAGTACCGTCGAATAGTACTAGTATATATAACTAAACACCATCTCAATAGAACGAATAATAATTCAAGGGGGTACAATCATGAAATCAATAGAAGCCTTAACAATACCAAAACATCAAGTTAAGAATCACATAAGCTTTCAAGTAAATTTTCTTGTTTTTAAGTTGGGAGATCTTCAGTACCGATATACCATAATTCACTATACCACCGTACGATTACACAGTGTTCGATCACAGCCCAATCGGCTAGGCTGCCTCATCTGAGACACCAACCATAATCACAAATTTCAATTACAATTTCCAGCACAATCACCACCATGTGTGCGGCACGGCGTCCGATCACGGCCCGAACGGCTAGGCCGTCTCGTCCAAGACATTACCCTTTTCTATCAATCATCTCACTTCATACTTCTTTCATATCTCTTAAATTCGTTGGCACTACAGGACACAATTATAAAATCATTCTTGGCACTTGGCCATACCTCATAATTCAAGTTCTTTTTCCACATTCAAACATCATTATCATCATCAACAACAACAAGGCACATAGATACTTTTCACACAATTTGGCATAACAACCTTTATTCGAAGTTGACTTGAAGTCTTAATATTTTTAACACACATCCCATACTTTAAACACGTCTTCGAAGGATAAGATAATATGATAAAAGCTTTTGGAATACATATTGAACAATATATTTTTCAACACAAGCATATTCAGATGGCCAATTTTATAATGATCAATTTGGGACTTACATCACTTACACGAACACTATGGAATTTAATTCTTAGAAAAGGGGTTTAGCCAACATACCTCATTTAAGCTTCCTTAAACTCTATAATGTTCCGGAATTCTTAGAAACTTCAATCTATTTTATAAATATATCAAATTGAACTAAAATTAGGGAGATGATCATGGTTCTAGCTCATTTGAGCATTCAATCAAACCCTACATGTGCATTAAGGTTTAAGACTCTTTTCATGGAGGGTTCCAATATCCCAAACCCCATTCTTTATCATGCATGAAAAATAAACACTCCCACACCCAAGAATTGTTTTGCTAATTACCCATTTTTAGTTAAATTTTCGAAATCAAGAATTAGGGTGTAGAAAGTTACCTCTAGGATGAAGGACTAGTGCACTTTCCATGTTAATCTTCACAGATTTGTCCAAAGATTGATGACAACGGCTTAGAATCCCTCTTCTCACACTAGAAGCCCTTCCTCTCTCTCTAAAATGAAGTTTTATCTTTCTAGAGTGACCCCTAATAGTGCTTTATGAGAAGGGGGTCGAGTTATAAAAACCCAAAAATGAAGCTCCGGAACGGGATCTACGGTCGCATATGCGACCGCATAATGCGGCGTAGAACCTCCCTCCTAAAATTTTCCATGCTGAATCTGCGATCGGTGTGCGGCCGCATAATGGACCGCAAATTGGTCCATAATTTTGCTCAAGTTTCTGCTTCGCTCTGCGGCCCGCAGAGTGATTTTGCGGCCGCACAGTGGACCTCAAAAATTGCCTTTTTCTGCCAACATTTTCCTTAACTCCTCAACACATTGATCAACCCAAAAAGTCTGTACCGCGGCGAGCTTGAAGAATCTCTACAATCTCTAACACATAAGTCTATCTCGGCACCACAAAATCCTGGGTTTCAGGTAAAATTTTATGGGGCCTTACAGATTCCCCCACTTAAGATCATTCGTCCTCGAACAAGGGTCAAAGTTTAGTATTAGCATCCGATCTAACTCAACTGCCACACTACACACCAACAGTCCCAAATTTTTGACTAACGCCCAAAATTTCCGAAAATTTTGCAAGAGTTTCCTTTGTAACTGGGCCTATCCACCTACCAGAGAACCCCATAAACACGTCCTAATAACATAACATAACACAAAACAACACTAACTGTGGCCTCATAAGCAACACCAAAAAGAACACCTTTACATCAACTGAACAAGTGATACAAAATTCACACGCGACAATTTCATAAAACGATTACACAACTATTCAAACGAGTAAGGATACTTCTTCTTCATCTCTTCCTCGGCCTCCCAGGTAGCCTCTTCAACATGCTGGTTTTGCCATAACACTTTCACGGAGTTAATTTCTTAATTCCTCAACTTCCCGACCTGCTTATAAAGAATGACAACTGGAATTTCTTCATATGACAGTTCTTCATTAGCCTCAATAGTCTCAACTAGTATGATAAGCGACGGATCTCCGATTACATTTTTCAACATAGACACATGAAATACAGGGTGCACTAATGACATCTCAGGTGGTAGCTAAAGCTTGCACGCCAAATGACCAATCCATTAAATGATTCTGTACGGTCCGACATACCTCAAACTCAACTTCACTTTCATTCCAAACTGCATTATACCCTTCATAGGGGAAACCTTCAAGAATACCCAATCATCTTCTTTATACTCCAAGTCTGTACGGCGAATGTCCGAGTAGGATATTTGACGGCTTTGGGCCGTTTTAAACCACTCTCTAGAGATCTTAAACTTTTCCATCGCGTGATGCACGAGATCGTGTCCTATCAATTCGGTCTCCCTAATTTCGAACCACCCAATGGCAGATCTACATCTTCTACCATACAACGCCTCAAATGGTGCAATATGAATACTAGCATGATAACAGTTGTTGTGAGCAAATTCTATGATTGATAAATAATCATCCCAGCTACCCTTGATGTCAAGAAGTCAAGCCCGAACATATCCTCAAGCGTCTGAATGGTCCGTCCTGCCTACCCATCGGTCTGTGGATGAAAGGATGTACTAAGATTCACCGAAGTACCAAAACCTTGCTGAAATTTCATCCAAAAGTTAAATATGAACTGTGGCACTCGATCAGAAATGATAGAAACTGGAGTCCCATGCAACCTAACTATTTCCTTGATATACAACTAAGCATAGTGTCCCGCTGTGTCGATAGAGTTAACTGGCAACACGTGTGCTGATTTCATGAGCCGACCCACAATCACCCAAATTGAGTAAAACTTGCACGGAGTACGTGATAATCCCACCACAAAGTCCATGTTAATTATTTCCCACGTCCACATTGGAATTTCTATGTTCTATGCCAACCCACGAGGCCTTTTATGCTCGGCCTTCACTTGCTGAAAATTTGGGCATTTTGCCACAAAGTCCGCTACATTCCTCTTCATGTCATTCTGCCAATAGATTTCCTTGAGATCACGATACATCTTTGTAGAACCTGGGTGCACAGAATACCTAGAAGCGTGAGCTTCAACCATGATTCTTTGCCGAAGACCATATATATTTGGAACATATAGTTGCCCTTGGTACCATAGTGTACCATCATCCATGCCCAGAGAAAAAGTTGTGGTCGTATGTTTATGAATCCTCTCATTCAACTGTACCAACAATGGATCATCATATTGCTTATTTTTAACCTGCACCACAAGCAATGATTCAGCCCTATTTTGCACAATCACCCCTTCTTCACTAGACTCCCCAAGACAAACTCCCAAGCTAGCCGACCAATGAGCCTCCCTAGCCAACGGCCTTTGGAATGCCTCCAAGTGAGCCAAACTGCCCATAGATTTCCGGCTCAGAGCATCCGCCACAACATTGACTTTTCCCGGGTGATATAGAATATCGATGTCGTAATCTTTGAGTAACTCCAGCCATGTTCTCTGCCTCAAATTCAATTCCTTCCATTTGAAAATATATTGAAGGCTCTCATGGTCCATGAATACATCCACACGGACCCCATTCAAGTAATGACACCAAATCATAAATGCAAAAACCACCGCCGCAAGTTCTAAGTCATGTGTTGGATGGTTCTTTTCATGATTCTTGAGTTGCCTAGAAGCATAACTTATAACCTTTCCATGTGGCATTAATACACACCCAAGACCGATCCTTGAAGCATTGCAATATAACACAAACCCATATGTACCCTCTGGCAGGGTCAACAACGACGTCGTAGTCAATATTGATTTCAACTCCTAGAAGCTCCTTTCACAAGCATCAGACCATTGAAACTTAACCACTTTCTGTGTCAATTTAGTCAACTGAGAGGCAAGAGTAGAGAACCCCTCCACAAACTTCATGTAATACCATGTTAAGCAGCAGAAATTGCGAATCTCTATTGGAGTTATAGGTCTAGGCCAATTCTTCACAGCTGCAATCTTCTGAGGATCAACCTTAATTCCTTCTCTGGAGACGACATGAGATTGTAATGTGACAGATTCAAGCCAAAATTCACATTTTGGAAAACTTCGCATATAACTGGTGCTGATGAAGAGTCTGCAGAACTGCCCTTAGATGATTTGCATGGTCCTCTCGACTTTGTGAATATACAAGGCTATCGTCAATAAACACTATTACAATGGAGTCAAGAAAAGCCTTGAAGACTTGATTTATAAGATCCATGAAAGTAGTCGGGGCGTTCGTTAGCCCAAAAGACATCACCAGGAATTCAAAGTGCCCATACCGGGTCCTGAAAGCTGTTTTCAAAATATCCTGCTCCCTTCTTCAATTGGTGATACCCAGACCCTAAATTAATTTTATAGAAGTACCTAGCACCCTATAATTGATCAAACAAATTGTCTACCCTTGGTAGTGGGTATTTATTTTTTATTGTGACTTTGTTGAGATGCCGATAGTCAATACACATCCGTAGCAACCTATCTTTCTTTCTTACAAATAGAACCAGTGCACCCCAAGGCGACACACTCGGTCGGATGAAGCCTTTCTCTAGCAAATCCTTCAATTGTTTCTTTAGCTCCTTCAATTCTACCGACACCATTCTGTAAGGTGGAATAGATATAAGCTGCGTGTCTAGCATCACATCAATCTCAAAATCAATTTCCCTATCTAGTGGGATCCTAGGGAGCTCATCCAGAATGACATCCGGAAATTCATTCATAATAGGCACAAACTCAAGTGTAGGTGCCTCAACATCGTTGTCCGTGACCCGAATCAAATGATAGATACACCCCTTGTTACTTATTTTTGTGGCCTTAAGGTATGAAATAAACCTACCTTTTGGCACCACATTATCCTCTTCCATTCAACAACTGGCTCATTTGGAAATTAAAACTATATAGTTCTGGTTCGATAATCAAGATTGGTAAAACATGGATATAGCCAATCCATCCCCATTATTACATCAAAGTCAACCATCCCAATTCAATGAGATCGGCCATGGTATCCCGACCACGCACCGTGACACACAATCTCTATAAACCTGCGCGGCCACAATAGACTCACCAACCGGAGTAGATACAAAGGAGTGACATAGGACAAAGTGGAATCGGGATCAATAAGAGCATACACATCATGAGATTGGACAGTCAATATACCTGTGTCAACATTTGGAGAAGCCTCTGCACTCTGGCGACCACTCATAGCATAGAAACGATTGGGTCATCCCGAAATCTGTGCACCACCCCTAGTTGCACTACGCCCTGCGGGTGTTGGAGTGCCTCGATCTGGAGAAGGTGCTGAGGATGTAGCAGCTACAGAACTTGATGGCTATGCGGTCCCCCTTCCTGCACCCTGGCGGGACGAACGACACTTCTGAATATGACCTCTCAATCCGCGCCCATAGCATATAGGTAGGTCCGTGGAACAGATCCCCAAGTGCATCTTCCCTCACCTGGGGCATGGGGGCCTCCATTTTTACTAGAATCTCCCTCTAGACCGGCCCTGCTGGTGGCGTCCTCTGTTTCCCGAGCTAGGCCTAAAATGACTCTACTGCTGTTGACTGGGGCCTGATGGCGGTGCACTGGCTAAAGACTGAGAAAAAGACCGAGATGGCCCTGATGACCCTCCCCTCAATGCTGACCTACCACCACCAAATGAATCTCCAAGGTTGCCGCGGATTGGGCCTTACTTCTAATTCTTGCTCCATTCTGTTCTTCAACTTATGGTTCTCTATAGCTTGAGTAAATGCCACCATCTTCCCATAGTTCATGTCAGAATTCAGGGAAGCCATAACAACCTCATTGATAACCAAAGTGCTAAGGCTCTGCACAAACCGGCGCACTCTAGCCTCCATAGCGGGCAACATATGAATAACATACTCGTATAGGCACGCGAACTCCATGCGGTACTCTCACACACTCTTGGTACCTTGCTTTAGGTTCTCAAACTCAACGGCACGGGCTGCCTTTGTCTCGGAAGGCAAGAAATGATCCATGAAGGCGTCATCAAACTCATTCCACCTTGCTCGAGCGCTCCCCTCTTCACGGGAGTTATCCCACAGCTCCAACCAAGATTATGCCACCCCTTTTAGGCGGTAGGCGGCCAACTCCACTCCCTTCATCTCACTAGAATGCATAAACATCTCATCAATGAAATCCTGGGTGTCCTCTTCGGGATTAGTACCTGTGAACACTAGAGGATCTAACTGAAGGAACCTGTTTACCCTGGAACCAGTAGAATCCCCTTGCTGGCTAGAAGAAGTGGGTGCAACATTTGATTTCTGGGCCTGGGAAGCAACTATCTGAGCCAACATCTGTATGGCTCCCCTAAGATACTCATATGAATCACTAGGACCAGAAGCTGGGGCTGGAGATAGAACCGGAATGTCAGTTGGAGGGATCGTTAAGCCCTTAACAGATGTAGGAACGGGTGCAGTCTGGTTAGGTGTAGTGGAAATCAGGCAGTGTAGTAGTCGGGGAATGTCCTCACCCCTCGGGCACTCACTCGTATCTTCATATAAAGAATAAACTGCCACTCCTGGGGCGGCATTGGCTCCTTGGCCAATTCTTGCTTTCTTCTTAGGTGCCATGTACTGAAAATTGGAGCAATGCACGAGTAAAAGAAGGAACAGTCTCAGATTCAGCTTTATCGCACAATATAGAACATCAAAGATGAAGTATTATTCCTAAATGTCCAAGTAGCCTCCAACTTATAAATATGGTTGACAACACACTGATAAGAATGACTCTACTAGACAGGGCTCCGAGACATCCTACGACACTTTAAAACCTTAGGCTCTGAGGCCAAGTTTGTCACGCCCCAAATTCAGGAAGCGCGACCGGCGCTCAACCGAGTAAACCCGGCCAAGCAAACATATTAGATACTTTCTACCCAAAATTGCCCATGGACAAAGAGAAGTCATATTTTCGTTAGTTAGACAATATGGAGTTCATGTATACAACACCAAATCATTTGCATTAGTTACTTCATTTTAAAATCTCAAAATACACACATTTTTCATCGATTGAAGTGGAATAAATGATTCAAACACAACATAACTCGTTTGACTTTCCCAGCACCCATATATATAACCCACACTATGTCTATGGAACCTCTAATAGTAAGAGTAAAATTATAGCGCCGGCAACAACGCTCCGGCTATACCTCAAAACGTGATAATATATATACAAAAGGTACATGACCCCGGAATGAAGTAGGGCTTACCAAGTCTGCTGGGAGGAGGATGTATTGCTATTACAGATCAATGTTGCCTGCTGCGGGGAGGAGTACTAGTATGTGTAACTAAACACCATCACATAGAATGAATAATAATACAAGGGGGGACAATAATGATATCAATAGAAGTGTCACGACCCTAAACCCAACCCGGTCGTGATGGCGCCTCTCGTGAAGACAAAGCCAGCCGACACACCTCCAATTCATTTTAAACAATTAATAACAATAAACACTAAGTCTTCAATCGGCAATAAAATCCCTAAAATAAGCATTTGACAGTATAATTTGCGGAAAATAAAAACCAACACAGCCCGATATCGGGGTGTCACCAGTCATGAGCATCTAAAACAAAAATAAATGTCTGAAGTCTAATCCACTACTACATAATCGAATCAAAAAGAACTAACATAGAGGGAGAATGCACTGGGCTGCGAATCACCAAGCAGCTACCTAGTAAATCTCCGAAGACCTGCTGGAACTATCAACCCTCAGGAGCAGGGCCTGTAGCGCCCGAATCTGCACATAGGGGTGCAGGGAGTAAAGTGAGTACTCCAACACAGTGAGTAATATAAATAAATGAAGACTGCGTAATATAAATCCATGTATGGCACAACATTAAGCTAAAAGAGGCATAACAAAAATCAGTAAATATAATTAAGTAGTGAAATTTCATAAACATCTTTTATGCAGTTAAACATTATACAGGAAAAACAACTAAAAAGGTAAACACACAATAACTGCCCCTCGGGCCCAATTACAACAGAATAAGCCCCTCGGGCAATGTCGCAGAACAATACCAGCCCCTCGGGCTATATCTCATATCACAATGGGTACCCGCGCTCACTGGGGGTGTATAGACTCTGGGAGGGCCCCCTTGCAGCCCAAGCGAAATATCAAGCCATCTCGTATCATCATAAACGGGCTCTCGGCCTCATATCAATCTCAAGCCACCTCGTGGCGTACAATCTCAGGCCCTCGGCCTCATTATCATAATCAGTGTATCACTGCTGTAGCGTGCAGCCCGACCCAAGAGCATCCTTACAACACAGGCCCTCGACTTTACTCAGTCAGAATCTCATAAGTCCCTCGGGCATCAGTAGAACATGAAGCTCAACTCAAAATATCTTTAAAATATATTTAATGTGTTTAAAACAGAATAACATAGCTGAGTTTTGAAAATAGTGAAAATATAGCATGACTGAGCATCAATATGAAATCAACAGTGCGGAAAAATGTCATTTAAAATCCCCTAAGGGTTCAAACAGTTGGCACGAAGTCCAAACATGGAATTTAGCCCAAAGTATAATAATATTAAACAATTAGCTACCAAATATAATGGAAAATAGTCATTCGGGATGGACTAAGTCACAATCCCCAACGGTACACGATCCCACGCTTGTCATCTAGCGTGTGCGTCACCTCAACGCAGCCTAACGTTGTGTAATCCGGGGTTTCATACCTCAGAAGAGCATTTAAAATCATTACTCACCTCGAACTAGCCCGAAAAGCTACTCTGCAACACGCTTGCCTCTCGAACCAACTTCCGAGTGCTCCAAAATCTACCAAGTTCAGATTTTTATCATCAAATTATGCTAAAGGAATGAATTCCAATTGAAAAATATCGATTTTAAGCACAAAACCCGAAATTAATCAAAACCCAAACCCCCGGGCCCGCGTCCCGGAACTGGACAAACTTTATACCAAAATGTTCTTCATCATCCCACGAGTCCGTACATATAAAGAACTCGAAAATCCGAGTTCGTTTGACCCCTCATATCATCCCTAGAAGGTCTCGTAATCTCAAGCCCTAACTCCACGTTTTTCTACTGATTTTCATGAATTAAACACTGATATTTTGTTCCTTAATCACAAATAATCGAGTTTTAGGGTCCACAATTCTTACCTCAATGAAGAACAATGATTTCCTCTCTTCAAAATCGCCTCAAAGCTCTTTTCCCGTTCAAAATAGTGTAAAAGGGTGTAATGGTTGCGGAGGGACTAACTTATATTCTGTCCAGACATTTTCGCATCTGCAGTCATTTTATCCCGTCTGTGGTACCGCATTTGCGGTTCTCGATCTGCTTCTGCGGAAATCACTTAAGCTCCCCATTTCCCGCATCTGCGATTCCACACTCGCATCTGCGTCATCGCATATGCAGTCCTCCTAGCCGCTTCTGCGGTTTCCTGACAAACGTACCTCTGGCCGCTTCTACGGCCCCTTTTTCGCACATGCGGCGTCGCACATGCGGTCCCCTATCCGCAGGTGCGGAAATACCAGAAGCAGCACAATGTGCAGCTGCAATAAATCTTCAAACTCCCCGTCAACCATCCGAAATTACCCCGAGGCCCCCGGGACCTCAACCAAAAGTACAAACATATCCCACAACCTTATTCCAACTTGTACCAATCTTCAAAACACCTCAAACAACATTAAAATCACAAAAACTCTTCACATTCAAGCATAAGGTTCTAAATTCTTCCGCATTCCGCTTTTGATAAAAAACCTAACCAAACCACGTCCAAATGACCTGAAATTTTGCACACACATCCCAAATGACATAACCAAGCTATTACAACTTGCGGAATTCCATTCTGACCCCTATATCAAAATCTCACCTATCAACCGGAAAACGCCAAAAACTTAATTCCGCCAATTCAAGCCTAAATCTACTCTGGACCTCCAAAACACATTCCGATCACACCCCTAAGTCTTAAATCATCTCCCAAAGCTATCTGAACCATCAGAACTCACATCCGAGCCCTCTAACACATAAGTCAACATCCAGTTGACTTTTTCAACTTAAGCCTTCTTAAAAGAGACTAAGTGTCCCAAACCTTCTAGAAACCTTTCCGAACCCAAGCCAATCAACCCAATCATATATAAAACGGATAATTAAAGCAAATAGAAGCAGAATTGGGAAAAACGGGGCGGTAACTCATGAGACGACCGGACGGGTCGTCACATC